TGCTCTCTCTCATTCTCTCTCTCTCAAATAAATAATTAAAATCTAAAATAAATAAATAAATTTAAAAAATAAAACCTAAGTGGGTGTGAAGTCCAGTGAATGAAAATATCAGTCTTCCTTATGTTTTCCTCCTCATCTCCTATCTATTTAATAAGGCCCCAATCAGGCCTCATATCCAAAAGCCCCTAGGGCAGCAGCTGTAGTCCTATGGGACCAGGCCCAGGGAGGCACCACCAGCCAGCCCCAATCCCATCAAAAACCACAGACACCAGAAGCTGCCACTCACCACATTTTTTACAAAATAAGGCTCTTCCCTTCCTTCCCCATGTTCCCTGCGCTCCAGGTCGAGCCTTGGGCAGGAGGGGCGATGGGTGGGACACCTACATGGCGTGCTCCTGCTGCTGGGGCACCGACCTGGCCCGCTGAGAGACCTCCAGCCCGCCCCAGAAGCTGAGATTTCTCCTGAGTGAGGTGAGCACCTGTACCTGGAGGTTGGAGACAGGGGCAGGGCTGGCGGCCAGAGCGGCAGTAGCCATGGTACGGTTCAGCAGCGGATTGGGCGGAGTGCTGCTGGGCGGGTGTGTGGCCTTCCAATAGGCTTCCAAGTATTCGGCCAAGTGCTCGCAGGCGTCCTCCAATTGGTTCTCGTCCAGGATGATGTCAAACATTTCCTGCGGAGGCGGGTTTAGGGGCGGGGCTGGGATGAGCCGGGCGTGACCGAGGGGGTGAGGGTGTGGCCTGGGTGCAGTGGGTGGAGTCAAAGGGTTGAAGGACAAAGTTAAAAAGAAACCTCTGGATGTCCAGGAAGAGGAGGACTCTCAGAAACATACACTGGCAGAACTAAAAGAGGTCTTGGCACCCAGACAGTCCAACTCTCTCATCCTGGATATAAGGCAACCCCGGCTTGACCCCACAGAGAAGTGGGGGGGCTTCCGGGGCTCGAACGCGGTCTCTGACTGCCTGTCCGGCGCTCTTTTCCAGGGAGACCAGTTCGCACCTATAGACCCCACCCTGGTGCTCCTGGTCGCTCTGTCTCTCATGCAGGCCAGAGGAAACAGGAGAACCCAAATATCTCCCCTTTCCCAGGGTCTGAGCACTCACGGGAGGACACTGCGCCAGCTTCTCGGAGGCCGCTATTTGGACATTGAGGTGTTTGGACTGAGACTTCCCTCGGGACTTGATGAGCCTCTGAAGTACCTAGTTTGGGGCGAGAGAAGCAGAGCTAGAGGGATCTCGCAATGCACCAAATCAGAGAAGCAGGTCCTGGGTGGAGCTAGCGTGTCAGGACGGGGGCAGGGGGACCTGGGGGTGGGGGCCGGGGGGTGGATGTTGGATGATTCTCAGCCCTGGCCACCTCGTCAGAAATGACCTCGCCAGCCCTGTGTCCCTCCTTACACAGTGCTCAGGCTCTCTCCCGGGTCTCATGCCAGGCTCTCCTGGGAAGGGGCTATCTGAAAGGCAGTGATTCGCCTTCCTGATCCCTGTCACTTTACAGGCTTCATTCTCCAGGCCGGCATCCCCATGGGAACGGCAGCAGCCATCTTTGACGGGACACTTGCTGCGAACAGGCACTGGTCTGTGCTTTCCATATGATCAGTCCATTTAGTCCTGACAATAATCTCATGAGGTAGCCACTATTATTATTCTCATCTCCACAGCAATCATGATAACAGTAGTAACAGCTAACCAGAAAGCCATGACCTTAACGAAATGATCAAAGTTAATGTCACCAATGACACAGCAGACACCTCGTGCCTCTTGATGCAACACGCTCGGAAAGACACATTGCACCAAAATGCAAAACCTAAGCCTCATCACAAGGAAACATCAAGCAAACCCACACTGAGGAACAGTCTACAAAGTCGGTGGTCTGTACTCTTCAAAAACGTCAGTGTCGTAAAAATCCAAGAAAGGCTGGGGAACTGTTCCAGTTTAAGAATGTGAAAGAGAGGGGCACCTGGGGGGCTCAGTCGTTAAGTGTCTGCCTTCGGCTCAGGTC